ATATATATATACTTCTCAGCAGAGTTTCTGACAACCCCAGTCCTCTCTTGTGTGATATGGGTGGTCCTGCAGCAGGGGTGGCCAAGAAAGAGAAGGGTTCAAGGGTTTTTATATATTTATTTCTGATTCTTTCATATTTGTTGCAAAAAACCATAATGACTTCTGCAGAGTCATTCATGCCATTTTAACACGTTTTTATTAACTCGCTTTCTTGTCCGTTTGTTTGTCTACTAAATTTTTTTGTGCTTTTTAGTCTTACTTGAAAAACGTGGTTTTTTAGATTAATTTTTTAATCTACTATAATTATTTTTATTGTGTGAGAAGCCCCTGTCTGTTCATCATCCCTTCTTTCTTGAACTGTTGGGAAAGGTAATGTTCTGGTTTATTTTTCCACTCATAATTCAGCCAAGAGATTTACCATTAATTTCCAGAAGGTTCAAACCTGGAAGAATCTGCTTTGCATAATAGTTTGTGAAGATGTAATTTCTTTGCTGCAGAAATAAACATGGTCATTTTGCATAATAATAATAATAATAAGGTTTTTTGGAAACTCCAAAGTTTCTGACAACTTCTGGTTTTCCAGGATAGTACTTTACAGTACCAAGACAAGTTTTCTTACTTGAAGGAGTAACTCTCTGCATGTTTTGAGGGAAGTGTAACTTTTTCCAGTACAGTACTTGAATCTCTTACTGGGGATTTTTCAAACTTTTTTTTTTGGAATGGCAAAGGATTTTCAAGGCTTTCTTAGGATTTTTTTATCTGTTCCTTGTGAACCATTGAGTTGCATGCTTTTGAAATTTCATTTTCAAAAGTTGTGGTTGATTTAGAAGCAAACTGTTATTATGGTTTGTGAATTATGTATTAATTTGTAAGATTCTCTTGGGAGACTGGATTGCAGGCTTTTTTTTTCAAGAATTTGATGGAGAATATTTTGCAGATATTTTTGGAATGAATGGAAAATATTTGGAAGCTCTGAGATGTTTTAGAAACTACATGAGCTAAATTGGCAGCCAAAAAAAAATCACTGGAGATTAGGAGATTATTTTGAAAAAAAAGTGACTGTAAATTCATAGGATGAATTGGCAGACATTTTTGAAAAATAAATACTTCAGAATATTTGGTACTGTATATATGAAAAAAACTTTGAATATCCGTGGGCTGACCTGTCAATAATTTTTTTTTTCAATTTTGGCATCTTAATTTGTTGAAGATCCAACATCTTGAATATTTTTAACCCAAATGAGTTCATATACAGTACTTCACAAAATTTAAACTAAAGTGAGATGTTTACTTTTTAAAATTTTCCAACACCTTTTGTGCTCCAATCCTTGCTTGGTTGTATAACTATCTGAGTTGTAAATGAAGTTAGTTTAAATTTGAACTTGGCAACTGAGCCAGAGCAGAGGAAATTGCCTGTTGACACTCCATCTGTCCACACAGCAACTTGTGCTACACAGCACCAAGGGTGGGTAAAGCCTGCACCTGAATAAACCAAGAAGGTTTTGCCCCATACCAGAATAACCTGGTTTCACATGGTACTACTATAAACACTATAAATTTATGCCACAAACCCACCAGGTGTTTATTTCTCTTTCCCTCCTCCTAGTTTCATTTTATTTTTTGCATCAACTAAGGTGTGACCTTGACTCAAAGGATTCTTTTATATTTCATAAATCTTTTCTGTTTTGTATCATAATATTTTAAAGAAAATATTATACACAACACATTTTACACAAAATGTATATTTTATCTAAAAAAGTTTTTTGTGCAATGGGGGATTTCTATAAGGAACTAATACTTACAGTATTTGATTATAATACATTTACACATGTATACTCAACACATTTTCCCTGTTCAATTATGTACATATTTTCAAAAAAACTTCATTTTTCACATATAATGTATAAAATTTTCCAACAGGATTCATATTTTAACATATTGCACATTTTCCTGCATAATACAGTACATATTGTCTTACATAATACTTCACATATTTTCCTACAGTACAGTATACTTTAAATATTTTCTGACATACATTTATGCATATTTTCATGCATGTAATTCATTATGTATGTACAGTATCTCAGAATGTGATACAGTACATATTTTTGTAAATTGAAACTTTTTTATATTTAAAGCACATTTCTATGCATG